GAAGATGCATTACTGAAATAAGAATCAGAAAAGGACAGGCACAAACTGCATTTTATAAAATGAAGAAGAAGAACATCTTGTGCAATATATCTTTGTCATTAAAGGTTAGAAAAAGAATTCTTGCTTGCTACATACATCCAGTTTTAACATATGACTGTGAGTCCTGGACAATCGGTAGGCAGGCCAAACAATTTCTTAAGGCCTCAGAGTTGTGATTTTACAGAACAATGCTTAAAATACCTTGGACAGCCAAAAAAAAAAAAAAAGCAACCAAGTATTTTGAAAGAGGCGGGAGCCTGAAGACAACTACTCACAGACTTCAGAAGGAGACAGTCATCATTTTTCGTCCATGTTATAAGATGAGGGAAAGTGGAACATGTGGTGACCACTGGAAAGATATGTGGAAGGAGGGATAGAGGAAGACAACAAGAGAAGATTCTTGACAGTCTTGTTGCATGGCATGGAAGTGTGTCAGCACACGAACTTAACACATGCTGCAGGAGATCGCAGATTGTGGCGAGGCATAATCGCCTATGCCAGTCGGCAAAGCACCAGATGATGATGATTCATTATTCGTATTTGTATTTGTATTCGGCCGAATAGTTAGTCCAGCTATTCGTATTTGGTGAAAATCACTATTCGGTACAGCCCTAATATTAACCTTCAGTTTTCTCATTAAAAATTGATATTTTGTCTATTGTTAGGTATTTATTTTGTATTTTGCAAAAAAAAACTGCTTTTGTTGTGATGATTTTTGTTTAAATCTCTACAAGGTGGTTTTCCATTTGATGTTAGATGGTTCCAAGATAATTGCAGTGACTCACTTGTTTAAAAGTTATTTAAAATCTGGCTTGGAAAATATTTTGAATAAACAATCCACACTTTCAAAGACAATTATTATAAATTTAATGGTTATCTTGTAGTTTTTCGTATCTTACAGTAATTAAGGTACTGAAGAATTCATAGTTTTTATAACTTCCTTCAGTTATCTCAGCAAAATGTTGATAGGAGGTGTAAGGATTATCTGTGTGCTCTTTCTAATATGTTTTATAAGCTTGAATTTACTTCTTTTAAGGTTGTTTTTGATATTGTCACTCTAAATTTAGTATGGTCTTCCTCTTGCTCTGTATTCATTATATTTTTCAATGTGACTCTCTGTGGTGGTTGGTACCAGAGTATTTTCATCTGATGACCAAACAATCTCTTCTGTTGCTCTTTATACATTTTATGACTCTCATCAAAATAATATAATTATGTACTTAAAATCCCAAAATTGTGACCAGTTAGTCTCTAAACAAACAGTATTTGGCGGGAAGTTAGTAATTGCGTATCGTTTACAGTACGTTGCAGAACCAACCCCAGCAATTTGTGTGAGTGTGGCTGTTGTGGTTTTTCAAGGCAAATGTTAACATTTATAGTTTGCTATTGCCTCTGAATGGTCAGCTCTCCTACCACTGTCGAAACTAACACAAGACAAACCATTCGCAGCTGGGATTGAACCAGGCACCCTGGCATTACAAAGCGTTTTCGCATTGCCTAAGCCAAGGGCAGTACAAATTAAAATAACATACCTCCCCTCCCCCTCTCTCTCACACACACACATACAGAAAAAACCCACACCCACACACCCACTCATAACGCACGCACACACACACACATTCATTAATAATTAACCTAAATTAGTGAAATAAAAATCATGTTCATTGCACTGAAACACACCTTTTCGAGCCTCCTCTTCTTTTCCTTTCTTAATTAGCAGAAACCTGGGACTTTCAGGACAAAATGGCATAAAAGCCAGACAGAGTATTGATGGTACAGCATTGAAAGCAAACAGGTATGGCCACAAAACTTCCGTTCCTAAACAAAAATATAAAAAATTAAACAATTATACAAAACATGAAGGTATTTTGTTTTAAGGTAATTCCTACAATTATTATACACTTCACATAATGTTCTCAGATTTCTTCTCTGCCTTTTTTCTGTCATCAAATTCCTCATTCTTATTTTCATCTTTCTTTTCGGCAGCCTTAAGTGTTTTCTTGCTGAATCTTTGTTCTTCTTCTTGTTCTCCTTCTTGTTCTTCTTCTTTTTACCTCATTGTTTCTCACAATAGCTTTAGTAAGTTCTACACACACACTGCAGTGTTTCTTGTCTCATTAATGATATTTATTAATCTTATATTTTATTTAAGTGATACTGTATTTTGTTGAGTGAAGTGAAATTATGCTGCCTAAGTATATGAACTCTTTTACTCACTTTAGCTGATAATCTGGCAACACCATTGAAAAACAGGTCAGCGATTAAGCCAGTTGCCCCAAGCTCTGAAAGTTGTGGGTTTCTTTCACAGACTGTCATTCATCAGTGCAACTGTTGCTAAATGTTCTCAGGATCATCACTAGAGCTAGAGAGTGTGTGCTGGCAGATATCCAGTCTGCAAAGACTGACTAAGCCACATGGGATAAACCCCAGTGTAGTTAAGCCAGTCTACTTGAAACTGTATTTCAGTAGTGGTAGTAGTAGTAATAGCCATTTAAACAATGATATCTTGTTTAACTTATTTGGGATGTAATTGGGTATATAGTTTTCTTCTGTTACAATAACAGATATTTATGCTTGTCAATTATTTTTGGTTATTTAATAATGCATAAATTATTTAGTAATTGTAACAGATTGCAAAAGTATAGATTGTTGTGTTTAATCTTGTTAAATAATTGTGGTAAGAATATTTAAAGTGATCTGGGATAGTACTTTGGAGCAATTTATCCACAGGAAGTTTTATTTATGAGTTAGTTGCTTCTAAGTCATCATCCTTGCACTTGTTATCTGTCTGTTGCTTCTAAGTCATCATCCTTGCACTTGTTATTTGTCTGTTGCTTCTAAGTCATCATCCTTGCACTTGTTATCTGCTGCGACCTATCGTGAGGACATATCAGTCCATGGATGTACGAGCGGCTTTTGTTGATGTGCTTGATTATTAATTGCATATTTTATCCTTGTGCTGATCATTGCCATTTGTCAATACACAAATGGAACTTTAAAGAGAGTTCTGGTTCCGCTACGTTTGGAAGCTTCAGCATTCATCATGTTGTGTTACTCTTGGCCAGTGGCCTGTTAAGTGTTGATGCCATTTGTTACATTGTGACGCCCCTAGTCACTTTGGTACGCCGCACATCACCACGCAGCCTTTACAGCACGTCACACTGTAGGCCAAGCTGTCGCTCGTCACAATGAAGTTTTGGCACGTCACAACCCCTCATAGCAGCCAAACCTCTCCTAGTCTTCGCTATCACATGGTCTATATGCCCAGTAAAAGCCAGACTGCGATAAAAAGAACTCCTAGATATTTCACTGCAGGAGCTCTTTCCACCACTACATAGCATAAATTTAGAGTTGGTGTTGGAGTATTGATGATATGGTTATTTAACGAGAACCATATCACAGCTACCTTCACCAGGTTGACCTGTTCTCCTGTCTCACCTCATTCCAGTCCTTGCCATGACGGTACACCAAAATATTATCAGAATATGATAATGTCCCTCCTTGTCCTGTGATCTGTTCTCACAGTGTTGACACTGAATAATACTGGAGATAGGAGTGAACCTCATGGCAGGCCAGGATGCATTGTTGTTGGTTCAGAGGCCCAGCTGTCACACTTAAATAGAAAGGAGTGAACCTCGTGGCAGGCAAGGATGTATTGTTGTTGGTTCAGAGGCCCAGCTGTCACACTTAAATAGAAAGGAGTGAACCTCGTGGTAGGCAAGGATGTATTGTTGTTGGTTCAGAGGCCCAGCTGCCACACTTAAATAGAAAGGAGTGAACCTCGTGGCAGGCCAGGATGCATTGTTGTTGGTTCAGAGGCCCAGCTGTCACACTTAAATAGAAAGGAGTGAACCTCGTGGCAGGCCAGGATGCATTGTTGTTGGTTCAGAGGCCCAGCTGCCACACTTAAATAGAAAGGAGTGAACCTCGTGGCAGGCAGGGATGTATTGTTGTTGGTTCAGAGGCCCAGCTGTCACACTTAAATAGAAAGGAGTGAGCCTCGTGGCAGGCAAGGATGTATTGTTGTTGGTTCATAGGCCCAGCTGCCACACTTAAATAGAAAGGAGTGAACCTCGTGGCAGGCAAGGATGCATTGTTGTTGGTTCAGAGGCCCAGCTGTCACACTTAAATAGAAAGGAGTGAACCTCCTGGCAGGCAAGGATGTACTGTTGTTGGTTCAGAGGCCCAGCTGTCACACTTAAATAGAAAGGAGTGAACCTCGTGGCAGGCAAGGATGTATTGTTGTTGGTTCAGAGGCCCAGCTGTCACACTTAAATAGAAAGGAGTGAACCTCGTGGCAGGGAAGGATGTATTGTTGTTGGTTCAGAGGCCCAGCTGCCACACTTAAATAGAAAGGAGTGAACCTCGTGGCAGGGAAGGATGTATTGTTGTTGGTTCAGAGGCCCAGCTGCCACACTTAAATAGAAAGGAGTGAACCTCGTGGCAGGCAAGGATGTATTGTTGTTGGTTCAGAGGCCCAGCTGCCACACTTAAATACTACCATTGATTGTAGAAGAGCTGCAGAGACTGATAAGTATGTAGTTCCAGTAGCTGAAACATTAACAAGTGCAGGGGTACTCGGTTGTAAACATTCTCGAGGTCAATAGGAGCTGAACAGATTTTAATGCCTGAATGGAACCCCTTAGATACATCATGGGCAAAAAAAGCAGCATTACTCCAGGTTTCTCTGTTGGAGTGGCAGGATATTTTCTTGGCAATAATCTTTTCCACCAGCTTGTCTATTGTGTTCTGTATTTTTACTACTCTGTATCCCTAGATCCTTGTGTGGTCTTTGCCAGGCTTCGGCAGCTGTATTAAGTAGCTGTGTGTCCACTCTTCTTTGATTATTCTGCTCTTAACGCTGTTGTTGTAAACAGTTGCCAGTTCCACTAGCTCCTTTTCAGAACATTTGTCAATAAAAAAGAAAATTTACAAAGAATATAAGAAAATTTTCCGCTCACCCAAAAGCTCTTTAAGGCCAAAGATCTGTGAGACTAAGATACCAATAGTAACAGCGAGCTGATGGCAAGTCCCAAGAGCCCCTCGAATCTTCTTCGGGGATATTTCAGCCAGATACAGTGGGCATAAAGTAATATTCAAACCTGAGGAGAATGTTCGGTGAAACATTAAACATGGCAACAATATTTCAGCTAAATGTTAATGCAAAATAAATTCTTCTCTTTCTCTAGTTGTCTTAATGAAGTGTTGTGGGAGATGTAGAGATCTTCTGTGTATGCTGGTCTTTATTTCTTTAAGATTTTTCTTGATGATTCTTGATTCCAAATTTTGCATTGTCTTCCCCTTGTTCTGCTCTCACATTTCTGTGATAGTTGGTCTCCAAGGCATTCTTGTCAGATTGCCAGACCTTTACATTTGTCACCCTTCAAACCTTTCACCACCCAAAAATGTTAACCAGAAAAAAAAAGAACTTTTTCCTTCAAATATTTAAGAAAAAAAAAATTTTGATTCTTTATAATTCCCTGAAACTCTGCTATAAGAAACCAGAAGAGAAGAAGCAGAAGAAACTTGGATTCTTGGTGAGTTTGTACAATTATGAAGGTGGTCAAGCCCCTAAAATACCAAGCAGACAGGCAGGCAGTCCCAGAGTCCTCTGCTTATTCAATGAGGTTATGACACACACACATGGACGCATACACACGCACACACACACACGCACATGCTTGCACACATGCACACACATGCACGCACACACACTTACACAGAAAAAGAATTAATTGCTTCTGATCACCTACGAGGTGAGGTTTTTAAGTAAGTCCGGTTTTGACCACACTGACCAACACCAAAGAAAAACGTAATTGTACATAAGCAGTATGTTTATGTGGTTTATTAGCTAGCTGTATGCTGTTTGTTCACTGTCAAAATGTTGTTTGATGCTGCGCGGACTGATTTATAATAAATACCAAAATAAAATCTCCAAATTTGTTGGTAAAAAAAAAAAAGTGCTGCAGAAATTCACTGGCAACTCATTGATGTTTATGGGCCAGATGTTATGACTGATAGTATGTTTATGAAATGGTGTTGAATGTTTAAAGAAGGGTGAACAACTATTCATGATGAAGATCGCAGCAGTAGCCGAATGTGGTGACAGACAATTAGGTCCAAGAAGTGAACCCCCCAAAAAAAACAGGAAAATTGTTGTTTGGTAATTTCTGTGCTGTCTTTCAAATTTTCGAGGTTTCACGTTCACTGATTTACTCGAGATTGTGTCAAGAAATCTTGGATACAAGAACAAAACTGTGTGCCAGATGGGTACTAAAAATGTTAACCGATGAACATAATCAGAAATGCCTGGCTTCAGCTAAAAAATTGTTGCTATCAAAATAAAGGAGATAAAGGGAATTGTTGACCACCCGCTCTACAGCCCTGATATGGCACCAAGTGATTACCATCTTTTCATGCATCTAAAGATGTGGCTGGCATTACAGCGGTTTGAAACTGATGATGAACTGCAGACAGGCGTTAATGAATGGTTCAAGACACTGGCGGCAGACTTCTAAGACATTGGCAAAAAGAACCTAGTGCCACGATATCAAAAATGTGTTGAAATCAGTGGTGGCTATGTTGAGAAATAATGTAAATGTGTAGTCCACTTTTGGCTGCAATAAATTATTTTTGTATAGGATGGTTTTTATTTTCTAATTTTATACTGGGACTTACTTAAAAAACATATCTCTTAATTTATAAATTGGGAAAGATCTTTTTCTTTTTATGGAAAGTAATCACTAAAACAAATGGAGTGAAGAATTAACTGACTGCCTTTCCTTTGATCACTAAAACAAATGGAGTGAAGAATTAACTGACTGCCTTTCCTTTGATCACTAAAACAAATGGAGTGAAGAATTAACTGACTGCCTTTCCTTTGACCATTTAGATGTGGTTTTAGTCACTTTACCATTGATCTTCTTTTTCATTCTATAAAATAAATTAAAATATTTAAAAAAAAATATTCTGAGAGTAATGTAATCATACGATGTCTAATGCAGCTAAAGCCATAACTAAAACTGTCATACAGGCATACTGGGCTCAATCCAAAAATATGTCAACCAAAAGCCTCAAAAGTTGGAAAAAAAAAAAAAAAAAGCTTTCTCAGGTAGAGAAGGTTATTAAATTATATGTATTAAATGATGTTTTTCCTAGTGTAGGTTCTAGAGTATAACTTTTGGGGTGGGGAGCAACTGTCATTAAACAAGCTGGTCATAAAAGCAGACTAATTAAGGGTTACTGGATGTGTTGGGCTGAAAATCACAGATATAACCACCCATTATAGGATGAGTGCAGAAGAAGAAGAAATGGTGTTTGAAAAGTGAGATGATTTGCCTCATTGCATTGTTATTCTATACTGATCCCGTCTCTCTCTCTCTCTCTCTCTCTCTCTCTCTCTCTCTCTCTCTCTCTCTCTCTCTCTCTCTCTCTCTCTCTCTCTCTCTCTCTCTCTCTCTCTCTCTCTCTCTCTTTCTCTCTTTATATAGCGACCAAAGACCAGTGACAGCATTACATAAAGAACAAATCATATAGCTCCAGCAAAAAGATCCCACCTCCTGTCCTCCTAGGGGTCTCAGCAACACTTGCATTTACATAGTGAGTTTGACAGACACTTAGTGAAGGAAAAGTAACTGTCACTACCTGAATGCAGCCCCACAAATACTCTGGACAGTATAAGACATTCAGGGGACTTGGCCACCAGTGTAATTCCTCCCAAAACAGCAGCTATGAACATCAGGAATGTGATCACAATCATGCCTAGCTTTCTGAAAAAAAAAAAAAAAAATAACACTTAAACAAATAATTCAGTTTTATTGTTTAGCAAGAAGAACCACTGACTTCTGCTATAGGTCATGTTTACTTCAAGACCTCACAAGCCAAAGATTTCACTTGTATGTGACCATGACTCTCCATACAAGCAGACTGATGTCAGAGACAGCAAAGGGGATTTGATCATTGCAGGGGATCATTGTTGTCAGAGACAGCATAGGGGATGTAATCATTGCAGGGGATCATTGTTGTCAGAGACAGCAAAGGGGATTTGATTATTGCAGGGGATCATTATTGCAGGGGATCATTGTTGTCAGAGACAGCAAAGGGGATTTGATTATTGCAGGGAATCATTGTTGTCAGAGACAGCAAAGGGGATGTGATCATTGTAGGAGATCATTGTTGTCAGAGACAGCAAAGGAGATTTGATTATTGCAGGGGATCATTGTTGTCAGAGACAGCAAAGGGGATTTGATTATTGCAGGGCATCATTGTTGTCAGAGACAGCAAAGGGGATTTGATTATTGCAGGGGATCATTGTTGTCAGAGACAGCAAAGGGGATTTGATTACTGCAGGGGATCATTGTTGTCAGAGACAGCAAAGGGGATTTAATCATTGTAGGAGATCATTGTTGTCAGAGACAGCAAAGGGGATTTGATCATTGTAAGAGATCATTGTTTTCAGAGACAGCAAAGGGGATTTGATCATTGCAGGGGATTATTGTTGTCAGAGACAGCAAAGGGGATTTGATCATTGCAGAGGATCATTTTACTTGATCATAGCTGTTGATCCAGGGCTGGATGGGAGGCACTGGTTACTGCATTCCATGTCAATGTAAAATATATTTAATGTTGTCAGTCCTGTACTTTTTGGTTCTCTCCTGCTCTCATATCAGATCTTCTTTAGTATGGTAACTGGTGGGAGTGGTTAGATGCTCACCTGTGGAACCAAACGCAGTGGGTTCAAATCTGAACGGAGCCGAACTTTTTTTTCAAAAACGACTTTGGCTCCCAGGTCGACCCAGCCCTAAAGGGAACCATGTAATGCCCTAGGAAGTAAAGGTGGCAGCATGATGTTGACCACATCCAAGTGCCGATTATATAAATCTAAAATTANATTGTTGTCAGAGACAGCAAAGGGGATTTGATTACTGCAGGGGATCATTTGTTGTGTCAGAGACAGCAAAGGGGATGTGATCATTGTAGGAGATCATTGTTGTCAGAGACAGCAAAGGGGATTTGATCATTGTAGGAGATCATTTGTTGTCAGAGACAGCAAAGGGGATTTGATCATTGTAGGAGATCTATGTCTGTCAGAGACCAGCAAAGGGGATTTGATCAGTGCAGGGGATTATTGTAGGTCAGAGACAGCAAAAGGGGATTTGATTACTGCTCAGGGGATCATTGTTGTCAGAGACAGCAAAGGGATTTGATTATTGCAGGGGGATCATTGTTGTCAGAGACAGCAAAGGGAGGGATTTGATCATTTGTAGGATGATCATTGTTGTCAGAGACAGCAAAAGGGGATTTGATTATTGCAGGGGATCATTATTGCAGGGGATCATTGTTGTCAGACCAAGCAAAGGGGATTGATATGCTAGCGGGATCATTGCAAATTTCAGGGATCATTGTTTAGTCAGGAGACAGCAAAGGGGGGATTTGATTATTGCAGGGAATCATTGTTGTCAGAGACAGCAAAGGGGATGTGATCATTGTAGGAGATCATTGTTGTCAGAGACAGCAAAGGAGATTTGATTATTGCAGGGGATCATTGTTGTCAGAGACAGCAAAGGGGATTTGATTACTGCAGGGGATCATTGTTGTCAGAGACAGCAAAGGGGATTTGATCATTGTAGGAGATCATTGTTGTCAGAGACAGCAAAGGGGATTTGATCATTGTAGGAGATCATTGTTGTCAGAGACAGCAAAGGGGATTTGATCATTGTAGGAGATCATTGTTGTCAGAGACAGCAAAGGGGATTTGATCATTGCAGGGGATTATTGTTGTCAGAGACAGCAAAGGGGATTTGATCATTGCAGAGGATCATTTTACTTGATCATAGCTGTTGATCCAGGGCTGGATGGGAGGCACTGGTTACTGCATTCCATGTCAATGTAAAATATATTTAATGTTGTCAGTCCTGTACTTTTTGGTTCTCTCCTGCTCTCATATCAGATCTTCTTTAGTATGGTAACTGGTGGGAGTGGTTAGATGCTCACCTGTGGAACCAAACGCAGTGGGTTCAAATCTGAACGGAGCCGAACTTTTTTTTCAAAAACGACTTTGGCTCCCAGGTCGACCCAGCCCTAAAGGGAACCATGTAATGCCCTAGGAAGTAAAGGTGGCAGCATGATGTTGACCACATCCAAGTGCCGATTAGTCTACAAAATATAAATCTAAAATTATATGCACAAAACGCCTGAAAGTGTAAAAAGGATTCCCTAAAGTAACTGGTCTTGTTGCATTCTAACCAAATGCTAAAACTATTTGATCTTCTTTTTCTGAATTATTTGGCAATCTGTCTGATAGTATCTTTTTCACTCAACCTCAGAGAGCTTTCCCAAGGTATCACAGCTTACAAGTGTTGATTTAATGTAAGTGGGTTTGTGATATGTCCAAGTCTGGCACTAGCAGCCTTAGTGTGAATATGCTATATAAAGTTTTATGAACATAATTATATTTGGGTGTATTGATAATGGTGCTAGTTCATGTGTGAGCTCATCCGACATGCATTGCTGCTGTATTAATACAATAAAACTGTGAAATGATATCAGTACTATGTCAAAGACGGCCGGCGTAATGCTGTCCACATTACCCACCTAGTGCCGATTGTCTGTAAAAATATGGGTGCTCTTCCCATATACCCGATACGTCTAAAGACATAAAAAGGGGTCTTTACTTCTATCAGAACTATGTCAGCACTACAGATGTTAGTGGAACATAGTGTTAGTATAACTATGTTTTTATGTAAGTATGTAAGTTGTACCCCACGAGTACATCACACAAGCTATGATAATGCAATTTAATATGACTGTGTCATTAGCTAAATACACCACAGTGTTACCAGCGACTAAATACAACCCAGTGTTACCAGCCACTAAATACAACACAGTGTTACCAGCGACTAAATACACCACAGTGTTACCAGCGACTAAACACAACCCAGTGTTACCAGCCACTAAATACAACACAGTGTTACCAGCGACTAAATACAACACAGTGTTACCAGCGACTAAACACAACACAGTGTTACCAGCGACTAAATACACCACAGTGTTACCAGCGACTAAACACAACCCAGTGTTAACAGCCACTAAATACAACACAGTGTTACCAGCCACTAAATACAACACAGTGTTACCAGCGACTAAATACACCACAGTGTTACCAGCGACTAAACACAACCCAGTGTTACCAGCCACTAAATACAACACAGTGTTACCAGCGACTAAATACAACACAGTGTTACCAGCGACTAAACACAACACAGTGTTACCAGCGACTAAATACACCACAGTGTTACCAGCGACTAAACACAACCCAGTGTTAACAGCCACTAAATACAACACAGTGTTACCAGCCACTAAATACAACACAGTGTTACCAGCCACTAAATACAACACAGTGTTACCAGCAACTAAATACACCACAGTGTTACCAGCCACTAAATACAACACAGTGTTACCAGCGACTAAATACACCACAGTGTTACCAGCGACTAAACACACCACAGTGTTACCAGCCACTAAATACAACACAGTGTTACCAGCGACTAAATACACCACAGTGTTACCAGCGACTAAACACAACCCAGTGTTAACAGCCACTAAATACAACACAGTGTTACCAGCCACTAAATACAACACAGTGTTACCAGCCACTAAATACAACACAGTGTTACCAGCAACTAAATACACCACAGTGTTACCAGCCACTAAATACAACACAGTGTTACCAGCGACTAAATACACCACAGTGTTACCAGCGACTAAATACAACACAGTGTTACCAGCGACTAAACACAACACAGTGTTACCAGCCACTAAACACAACACAGTGTTACCAGCCACTAAACACAACACAATGATACCAACCACTAAATACAACACAGTGTTACCAGCCACTAAACACAACCCAGTGTTACCAGCGACTAAACACAACACAGTGTTACCAGCCACTAAACACAACACAGTGTTACCAGCCACTAAACACAACACAGTGTTACCAGCCACTAAACACAACACAGTGTTACCAGCCACTAAACACAACACAGTGTTACCAGTGACTAAACACAACACAGTGTTACCAGCCACTAAACACAACACAGTGTTACCAGCCACTAAACACAACACAGTGTTACCAGCCACTAAACACAACACAGTGTTACCAGCCACTAAACACAACACAGTGTTACCAGCCACTAAACACAACACAGTGTTACCAGCCACTAAATACAGTACAGTTTTATAATCAGGTAAATACAATTATCTTTATCATTACCTAGCATGTCCTTTGCAGGACGTCGCTCTCATTGTGGTCTGCTGAAAGAAACTCCATTTCTCCCCAGCTCTCCCACCTTGTAAGTAAAGATCCCTTTTCATGCCATTAGGTGCATCAGGCATATGGGAAGTGCACCCATATTTTTCAGACCAATCGGCACTAGGTGGGTAATGTGGTCAGCATTATGCCGGCTGTCTTTACTTTCCCAGGACATACATCCTGGTACCTATCTTAGGCTGGGTCGACCTGCTACGTCCCATACCATTTTAAAAATCCATGCAGCTAGCAGTGGGTTTCAATCGCGGTATGTTGGAATTATGAGTCGGACTCACAACGCCTAAGCCACAAACGCTGCCTCCCACCTTGTGCACTTTCATATTCGAGGAGTCACTTACATCCTGTGCCCATCTTCGTGTCGGTCCTTGGTGCCATGCCTTGTGCTATTATTTTTTTTTTCCAATCCACTGTGGTGCTTAATATGACCAAAATCTTTCAGCTTCTGAGATAAGATACTCTTCATCAGCCAATCTTCCTTAATGTTCAGATCTTTTAAAAGCGTTAGTATTTATTCTCTTCATCCTCCATTCAGAGAATCTTTCTACATCACTTCAGCTCAAAAGCCCTCATTTTCTTCCTCAAGGACTGGGAGATAGTTCACAACTCACATCCATTATATTGCTACATGGAAGATGCATGCTCTCTAAATTTTATTCTGATTTCCTTGCTGGTGCTTAACCACAGAATTGTAATGCAGTTTAATGATAAGTACATTGTAGCTGTATAATTAGCTAAATACTATACCTGCCAAAAAAGTCAGCAACCTGGGCAGATATGAAAGCGCCAATCATGCCAAAGAGCACGAAGGCAGCCACTGTTGTTGACCACAAGAGTTTGATCACCCAATCTTCCAGCAGCAACTCTGGCTGTGCCCCAAACACTGAGGCATTGTGTTGTTTGGTCACATTACCTCTGTGCACCAATAAGTGATTATAGAGTTCATATATGCACAACTTAAAAACACACAGAGAATATCAGTGATAATAGTGTCAAACAATAGAAAAAAAAAAAGCTTGCAATATTGCACAGATTAACTTTGCCACTTGGTGGTGAACTAATACCTGACATGTTAGACATTGTAAGGGTCCTTTAGGAGCAGTGTGGAGGCACATTCAGATCATCACAGTCTGTTTTTGAGGTTTTTAAACAACAGATCAACATCATGGCCCACTGGTGGTAACCCATAAGTGCTCAAGTATGAGTCTGAAGAAGCTCAGCACAGTGCACAGGCTCTGTAGCACCAGCAAGGGTCCTGAAATACTTTGGGTAGATTGTGAACTCCAAATTTTGTCCAGGCTGCAATGTTAGGCTGCTCTTTTCGATTTGCAACTGCCGAGGGATTTTTTACATGTCCAACAATGCACACCCGTGTCCCATGTCACTAGCCAGAGACCAGGGAGAACTACAAAAAGTCCAAGTCCACATGAAAAAATCCCAGCCCTTACCAGGGACTGAACCTGGAACCTCTAGCACTCGAGGCAGACTCCATATCTCGTGACCACATAGCTCCCCCAAGGAGAGACCAAGGGACCTGGCTAAGGTTTAACACTCAAGGAAAATGTGAGACGGTCATAGTCAGACTGTTACTGAGGCCATGTCATACAGTCACACTGTTTTTGAGGCTATCAGAGCTGGAACTCTGCGCTAGCTGCTGAAGATGGGGATGGAATGTCCAGAGTGTTGATTCTTAATTCAACAATCAGCAAAGATTAACTGTGAGGTAAGATCTCAAGATTTAAAGGATGTAAGAAACTAACTAGGTCATAAATAAATAATAAATAAGTGCTGTACATAAAATGGACATAGGTAGAAATATAGGCTGAACTCTGAATAACGGTCCTAAATTATCAAGGCTAAGAAAATGCCTTAACAGAGCCTCAAACATATGTAAATTGCGGACTTCTTTCTGGCAAATATACTGCATACCGCATGAAACCTCCGAACAACAGTCCCAAATCATTGAGGGTGTCAACAGCTCCAACACTGAGTGCTAGGTTTAACTTCTCCTCCTGGGTCCCAGGTTTAACTTCTTCTCTGGGTCCTCGGATGAAACTTTTCCCCTGGGTCCTAGGTTTAACTTCTCCCCTGGGTCCTAGGTTTAACTTCTTCCCTGGGTCCTAGGTTTAACTTTTCCCCTGGGTCCTAGGTTTAGGGTTAAGGCATATGAATATATGTGTGTGGAAGTATTTGTTTGTGTATGCATTAATTTTGTAGGAGCGTACATGTGTTTTTTGCAACTAGTGTTTAGCTCAATTTTTAAGTTTGGGAGAAGTTTCAAATGACCACCTTTGTTTACAGTGAAGAACTTTTAAAGTCTTTAAAAAAAAAAAAAAATCAGGTTAACTTCTCACTTCAGTGATAAGATCCGCTACAGTTCCCTGTAGAAGAAGAATATGTTAAGATAGTTTATATAACTCATTTTTTGTTTTACATGACACACATATGTGCTTACTAAATTCTGAGCTTGAAAATTATAGCATACATGAGGCTGGACATAAGTCAGTATGAAAGAAATTAAATGGAGATTTTTTGGTGTGGGTAAAACTGTTATGTGCTCATTACATCCGTCACTTGAACTGTCATACTTATGCATCTCTGTTTGACCTTGAACTGAACAATTAAAAAAAAAAAAAAAAAATAGTGCAGCATGTTAGAATAACTTCTTCATCATTACTAAAATAATTTCCTATTTGTTATTGTTTAGGATTTAATAGAAAATCCAGTGAACAGAATTGGCACAGATGAATATAAATAGTAAACTTCTTGGGTTCTAGCTCCCCAAGATATGAACCCAATTGTCATCTGCTGAAACTATAGTGATCAAAATTTTTTCTGACTGGTATTTTTTTAGTAATTGTCAACAGCAGCCTACTCTCATTGTCTTCTGTTGGCAACCTACTCTCATTGTCTTCTGTTGGCAGCCTAAGCTCATTGTCTTCTGTTGGCAGCCTACCTTCATTGTCTTCTGTTGGCAGCTTACCTGCATTGTCTTCTGTAGGCAGCTTACCCTCATTGTCTTCTGTTGGCAACCTACTCTCATTGTCTTCTGTTGGCAGCCTAAGCTCATTGTCTTCTGTTGGCAGCCTACCTTCATTGTCTTCTGTTGGCAGCTTACCTGCATTGTCTTCTGTAGGCAGCTTACCCTCATTGTCTTCTGTTGGCAACCTACTCTCATTGTCTTCTGTTGGCAGCCTAAGCTCATTGTCTTCTGTTGGCAGCCTACCTTCATTGTCTTCTGTTGGCAGCTTACCTGCATTGTCTTCTGTAGGCAGCTTACCCTCATTGTCTTCTGTTGGCAACCTACTCTCATTGTCTTCTGTTGGCAGCCTAAGCTCATTGTCTTCTGTTGGCAGCCTACCTTCATTGTCTTCTGTTGGCAGCTTACCCTCATTGTCTTCTGTAGGCAGCTTTCCCTCATTGTCTTCTGTAGGCAGCTTACCCTCATTGTCTTCTGTTGGCAGCCTACCCTCATTGTCCTCTGTTGGCAGCCTACCCTCATTGTTTTATGTTGGCAGCCTACCCTTATTGTCCTCTGTTGGCAGCCTACCCTCATTGTTTTCTGTTGGCAGCCTACCCTTATTGTCCTCTGTTGGCAGCCCACCTTCATTGTCCTCAGTTGGCAGCCTACCCTCATTGTTTTCTGTTGGCAGCCTCCCCTCATTGTCTTCTGTTGGCATGTTAACAGAAGAAACTAAGGGTAGGCTGCTGCTAAATGTCAACAGGTCAGGAATCCAGTGGGCACAAAAGTTTCTCAAGTTTTCTCTGTATCAAGTATTATTTGTGTAGGATTTTGTTTACTTCTTTCGCTCATATTTACAGCACAAATAATCTACAATTATTATTATTCAGTTCTAGTCAATGGTTTTCTTCCTTGTTTTTATATTACTACTGTTGCACTCTGAGGAGGGTCTGCCAGATTTGGTAAGATCAGCAACATTTGAGCCTCCATGCTTCAACTATCTATTACTGCTGTTTCTATGGAAGCATACACAGGGTAGAAATCATGAAACATTGCTTCCATCCTTCTGTACATTTCTGTAAGTGTTTTTTTCCAGAAAAATCCTCTGCCTCATGCACTGTTATTCTTTTATATTAAGGATAAATCTTGTTGTTCTTTCTATACATAATATGCAAGCTAATGACTTCTGAAAGACGCTGCCTGGACAGGAACATATGATCCCTTTTGATGCCCCTCTAATGGGTCCTCATACTGGTGTAGTAGAGGAGCTTGTGAATTCTAGTGATCTCTAGAGTGGCTTAGTTACTCCAATGGTCTCCAGTGTTGGATGGGTCTCCAGTGTTGGATGGGTCTCCAGTGTTGGATGGGTCTCCAGTGTTGGATGGGTCTCCAGTGTTGGATAGGTCTCCAGCGTTGGTTCCAGGGATAGGAACCAAAGAGAGACACAACCTTGCTGCCCTATGAGTAAACAGGTGATGGTCAAAGACTAGGAAAAGCAAACCTGAAATAATAAATGCTTTTGGATGATCAGATGCACTGAACCACAGACTTGTTACAACATGTCAATGTAATTGTTTCGTGATAATGTCAAGAATTTTAAAAATCTTACTCGATGAGGACTGGATTAGTAGAGATGTTGAGACTGGTGCTGCCATTGTATTTGATGATAGCTTCTGCATCTGTGACATTATTGTCATGAAGATAATTGTGGTATCTCATTAAAGCATCCCATGATCCTCCTTGACGTTCATAGTACGTTCTATTGTAGAATTCCTGGATAATCTAAAATGAAACATAACATAAGGATTACGAAGGCTTCATGGCTTTTTTAGTATATGTGGACAGAAACAAAGCATTTTATTTTGTAGACTGGAAAAACAAATGTTAGGGTAAAAAACAAGTATAAGCATTGTATGTTAGACATCTTGAAAACAATAGATCACACGGAAACCAAGTACAACAGGCTCCACTTGTGTATGCATAAAAATTTGTATAAAATACAAATGTGTGTGCATGTGTGCATGTGTGTGTGTGTGTGAAAGTAGCATAACCATAGTAAGTATAAAGTATTAGGAAATTAATCCACTGAACTGTGACTTAGAAGCTTAATGAAGGTGAAAGGGGGAAAAAACACAAACAGAAATAAATGGATGTTTTGGCAGCAGCCTTTATGAATACAAATTTCAACAACCTTTTTGTGGATAAAGGCTGCTTGCATAACATTCATTGGCTGCTGTCTGTGTGTTAACAATCATGAGAGGTGTACAATGTGAGTGTGTGTTAACAATCATGAGAGGTGTACAATGTGAGTGTGTGTGTTAACAATCGTGAGAGGTGTACAATGTGAGTGTGTGTGTTAACAATCATGAGAGGTGTACAGTGTGAGTCTGTGTGTTAACAGTCATGAGAGGTGTACAGTGTGAGTCTGTGTGTTAACAGTCATGAAAGGTGTACAATGTGAGTCTGTGTGTTAACAGTCATGAGAGGTGTACAATGTGAGTCTGTGTGTTAACAATCAAGAGAGGTGTACAATGTGAGTGTGTGTGTTAACAATCATGAGAGGTGTACAGTGTGAGTCTGTGTGTTAACAGTCATGAGAGGTGTACAGTGTGAGTCTGTGTGTTATCAGTCATGAAAGGTGTACAATGTGAGTCTGTGTGTTAACAGTCATGAGAGGTGTACAATGTGAGTCTGTGTGTTAACAATCATGAGAGGTGTACAATGTGAGTCTGTGTGTTAACAGTCATGAGAGGTGTACAGTGTGAGTCTGTGTGTTAACAATCATGAGAGGTGTACAGTGTGAGTGTGTGTGTTAACAATCATGAGAGGTGTACAATGTGAGTGTGTGTGTTAACAATCATGAGAGGTGTACAGTGTGACTGTGTGTGTTAACAATAATTAGAGGTGTACAATGTGAGTGTGTGTATTAACAATCATGAGAGGTGTACAATGTGAGTGTGTGTGTTAACAATCATGAGAGGTGTACAATGTGAGTCTGTGTGTTAACAATCGTGAGAGGTGTACAATGTGAGTGTGTGTGTTAACAATCATGAGAGGTGTACAGTGTGAGTGTGTGTGTTAACAATCATGAGAGGTGTACAGTGTGACTGTGTGTGTTAACAGTCATGAGAGATGTACAGTGTGAGTCTGTGTGTTAACAGTCATGAGAGGTGTACAGTGTGAGTCTGTGTGTTAACAATCATGAGAGGTGTACAATGTGAGTGTGTGTGTTAACAATCATGAGAGGTGTACAATGTGAGTGTGTGTGTTAACAATCATGAGAGGTGTACAGTGTGACTGTGTGTGTTAACAATCATGAGAGGTGTACAATGTGAGAGTGTGTGTTAACAATCATGAGAGGTGTACAATGTGAGTGTGTGTGTTAACAATCATGAGAGGTGTACAATGTGAGTGTGTGTGTTAACAATCATGAGAGGTGTACAGTGTGAGTGTGTGTGTTAACAGCCATGAGAGGTGTACAGTGTGAATGTGTGTGTTAACAGTCATGAGAGGTATACAGTGTGAGTGTGTGTGTTAACAATCATGAGAGGTGTACAGTGTGACTGTGTGTGTTAACAATCATGAGAGGTGTACAGTGTGACTGTGTGTGTTAACAGTCATGAGAGGTGTACAGTGTGAGCCTGTGTGTTAACAATCATGAGAGGTGTACAATGTGAGTGTGTATGTTAACAATCATGAGAGGTGTACAGTGTGAGTGTGTGTGTTAACAATCATGAGAGGTGTACAGTGTGACTGTGTGTGTTAACAATCATGAAAGGTGTACAATGTGAGTGTGTAATGTTTACAGAGCTTGTTTGTATGCAAAAGTGAAAATATTGATGAATTTAAAAAGGTCGTGAGTAGATATATTATCAAGAATATGAAATATGTAGATGACACAGTAATGACTGCAGAAAGGGACAAGATCTGCAATGTTTAATGGATGTTATTCCTGTCAATTTAAGCAACTATGGTTTAATAGTAAAGTGTAGGAAAACAAATCATTGTAATTTCCAAGATTATATTTTTAAACAGGCGAATTAATAGAACCATAATGAAACATTCTAACATTTTAAGGAGGATGGTTAGTAAAAGAACAAGTAAGGACAAAATCCAAGTTTGCATGGTCATAAGCTGGTGCCTAACTTCTGTGCCACTCTGTTTACATTAGGCAGCAAAGAACCTGGGGCTTGAATTAACTAGAGGCTGGCCCACCTACAACATACATTTTTTTCAGGGGTGAGGCTGAGTTCATATATTTGTATGTTTGCTAAGCTCTTCTCCGACCATGTACATATGTTCTCTTTTAATTTTAATTTTAATTTTTATATTATTTTAAATAAATTAATTTGGTCATTTGCCAGGCTGCATTGTTCTTTCATTGAGCATTAGGAAAACAAAGGTTAGAACCCTAAGGCCTGTCCTAGAGAATCTATAACGGGACTAATCCACCCCCCCCCACCCCTCCCACCCCCATATTTTCTAGATAGCTAGATAGCTTTCTACGGACAGGCTGCTGGAACAAAAGTCTTAAATATTGTGACAGTTTCTGTGTGCTACCCACCTGGCCTGTGCCTCAGCACTTTACAGAGGTGACTGCATTTTGTGCCAGGCTCACAGTGTTATAACAAACTGTTGCTTAACTCAGACTTTGACTCAAACCACCAGTCGTCATCACTGCTCCTCATACGATTGTCGCTACCTTTAAAGAATTCATTTCTTTGTCAGAGCCCCTAAGGACTACTGTACCTTTTCCCTCTGAAGTTGAGTTTTGAGATTTTTTTAAGTACAATGGTATTTAAACATTTGTGTTTCTTAATCTATAATTTCATCCTTCAATTCTTTGTTCACCTGCTATAAACTCTGACAGAAGTACTGGATGTTCATCCATGTGGATTTTGGCTTTGTGCCTAGGCTGGGTTTTGCTTATTTGAGTGCAGTTGGTTATCTGTTATCACTCGACAGTAGGAAGCCTTCAGTTAGTCGACTCAAAGGACATGCTTGTTGGAGAGGCGATACGTGGCACGGTGATTTCTGTCACAGGCGTGAGGTAAGGCTACGTCCAACGTAATGTGTATAAGGAGATACACCAAACGCCACTTGGGGGCCAGTCCTTCACTGTTCTGGTTTTATGGAGCCTCATGCAAGACTCCTGCTACACGTCCCCGCCATGCCCCACAGATAATGTCTCAAATGAGTATTAACAGAGCTGTCAGGGGATCTCAGAGTTGGTGGCCCCCAGAGGTGTAGAGTTCTTGTGGCTCTAATCAGCTCACCCCCAAACGCATTGGTGAAAAAGTTGATCAAAACTCATTTGGAACATGAGTTAAGTCTGCTTACTAAAGGCACAACTAAATGACAACCCTCGGTTAAAAGTTTGTTGAGTAAAGGGAACACTGTGCTGCTAAGGCTCAAACCTTGACCAAGAGATTTACCCGCAGCTCAGACGAGTAACATCTCCTGTGGGCTTTTTCTCGCAGCAAGATCCTACCTATGTATATCCACTATCAACCCTTAGCGACGTCGTCACCGCTCATTAGGTACACCAAGACAGCTACTGTCCATTGGCTGGCTAAGCTCTAATGACCAACAAAGAAAGAAGAAAGATCCTACGGCACACGAGCAAGCTCAAAATCCGACCATCATAAATTGTACTGATTGACACAAGTCAAAATGTCCACATCCCAAGGACCCACTCGCCCGAGTATAGGACCAAACAGATGAAGACATGACTGATGCAGGATTCTTCATTCTGTCGTGCTAACGACAAGTAAAAGATGTCTAACGTGCAATGAAAAAGAATGTACCTATTCAGGTGGTCACAAAAGTCCCTAACCTGCAGGCTGCTCCCCTCTGATCTCTGGAGGGCCCAGACAGTGTCAAGCGGGAGGCCTAATACCACTGTGAGGTTAAGTAGTCATGTGCAGGACATGACAATTCCATGGGTGAGCCCAGAACCAGAGCATCATGTGTCGGCTCTGCATTCATGGAAGCCTCCTTGGATGGTAAGGAATGCCCATGATCTGCCCCTGCCTTTGCTAGAGGGCTAACTGTTCTACATAGGGCTGCCCCAAAGGGTGTCTCTGGGGGCAACACCTGTAGATAAAGGCACAAAGAGGACACCACACAAATAAGGCAACATCTCGACCCACACAAATGGCCACAGTCATCCTAGAGATAGGCCTGATGTCTTTCCTTGAAGTCAGAGTACATCTGCCTGTGAGGCAGAAAAGGGCAAAAGCCAGTAAAACGTTTGTACACGCAAAACTCAGGTCTAGGTAAAAGCCAGATGTCCAAGCGAACGATCAACCGGGACCTTCCGCCGCAATTTACAGCCGGTGAACAAAGAAGAAGAAGAAGGGTAGGTGGTACGAGGCGGTGGTCTATTTGTGTTATCCCCATAATGGGACCCCAGAACTCCCCCGGGGATAATTTCATAAAATATTTATTTATTTTGCTGGAGCCCCAACAGAGTCTCTGGGACATGCACATGTTGCCTTAGGGGCCAGACTGACTGAGAACCTCTGTGCTAGACTAATATTTGTATAGACAAAGTTCTGTAGTGTGGTCCCTGTTGACTTGCCATTATTACATACTGGTCACAGTTGCAGACCCATGATCATCACTTGATTCTTTCAGTGTCCATAAACCTTATATAGTTCATGATAATATGGTTCTCTCTGACACAGGTGGACAACCAGCTGAAAGAAAGCAAAGGTAAAAGGAAACAAAATGCGGATAAACATAAACAAATTAAAGACACTGACAATGACTCACAGCTGCTGGTTGATTGACCACACCAATCTGGTATCCATAGAGAAAAGAGTTGCCAGCACAAGCAATAGTCACACTGAGTACCAATATGCCAGTTAGTCTACTTTCATCTTCCTGAAAGAACATCAAGAGGAAACAATGATCACTACTGTTTTATTAGAAATTATTCATTTGCTGATATTCTCTCCTGAGAATACTTGTCTATCGACTCTATCAAATGCCTGCTCTTGGTCTACGAATACCACAGATACATGCTTATATTGTATTCTATGTTATTTTCTATTAACTGTTTAAGTGTGAAGATTGCATATGTGCAGTCTCTATTTCTCTGCAATTCTACCTGTTTTTCTGCCAGCTGTAGTCCTATCCCTTAACTTAGGAGAGGTCCAGTGACCTAAGAAGGCATGAATGGCAAGGGAAGTTACTCTAATCCTGTGCTGGAAACATAAACAGCACTGATAAAACATAGACCCCACACAATTACACTTCCCCAGAAGATAAAACATATACCCCACACAATTACACTTCCCTAGAAGACAAAACATATACCCCACACAATTACACTTCCCTAGAAGACAAAACATTTACTCCACACAATTATACTTTCCCAGAATGTAAAAAATTACCCCATAGTTTACACTTCACTAGAAGATAAAACATATACCACACAGTTGACACTTCCCTAGAAGACAAAACATATACCCCACACAATTACACTTCCCTAGAAGATAAAAAATTTACCCCACACAATTAAACTTCCCCAGAAGAAAAAACATATACTCCACACAATTATACTTCCCCAGAAGAAAAAAAATATATCCCTTAGTTTACACTTCACTTGAAGATAAAACATATACCCCACAGTTTACACTTCACCAGAAGATAAAACTTATACCCAATAGTTTACACTTTCCCCAGAAGATAAAACATTTACCCCTCACAATTACACTTCACCAGAAGATAAAACTTATACCCCATAGTTTACACTTCAACAAAAAGATAAAACATATACTCAATAGTTTACACTTTAACAGAAGATAAAACATATACCCCATAGTTTATACTTCACCAGAAGATAAAACATATACCCCATAGTTTACACTTCAACAGAAGATAAAACATATACCCCATAGTTTACACTTCACCAGAAGATAAAACATATACCCCATAGTTTACACTTCAACAAAAAGATAAAACATATACTCAATAGTTTACACTTCAACAGAAGATAAAACATATACCCCATAGTTTGCACTTCAACAGAAGATAAAACATATACCCCAAAATTTAAACTTCAACATAAGATAAAACTTATACCCCATAGTTACACTTTAACAGAAGATAAAACTTATACCCCATAGTTTATACTTCAACAGAAGATAAAACATATACCCCATAGTTTACACTTCAACAGAAGATAAAACATATACCCCACACAGATACACTTCCCCAGAAGATAAAACAAGCCACTATCACATACTTTATGTATAGAGCAAAGTTAAAATGTGAGCTCATAAATTATTTTCTCAGCCTCAGATCAACAAAGTCAAGACATGTACAAAAGTAGAGCTCACAGTGCACCCCTGCCAGCTTGGAACTCGGTTAATTTACTACAGACATCCCGTGTTTTGCATTCTTTCGCCAGCAAGTACAAGGGAAATTATACAGTGCAAGCGACAGAAATATGCTAGCAACATAAGTCACAGTGCAACAGCTTCAAAGAGAAACGGAATCACGATGATAACAAAATATCTAGACACCCGCACACTTTTCGTAAAGCTTAAAATCCGGGTAAACATAAAGATCTTACAAATAAATGTTTCCATATGTCATATATTTCAGCCCTAAAATGATCTTTTAGAACCTGGAAATTGTTCCTAACATCAGTGGCGCTGAGACAAATTACAGCTGGAGATAAGGAATGGGAAGGGAGGGGGGGGAGGGGAGGGAGGGGGGGGGGGGGAGGGGGGAGGGGGAGGGGGGAGGGGGGGGAGGGGAGGGGGGGGGGGGAGGGGGGAGGGGTTGGCGTTGAGAAAGGGTAGGTACTCAGCCCACTTGCAAATCGTTTGGGGTGGGAGTGGTCTATGACTTTTCCAAGTGATTAATAAGAACACTTTGCTGAATGGCATATATATATATATATATATATATATATATATATATATATATATATATATATATATATATATATATATATATATATATATTTGTTGTGTGTATGTGTGTGTGTCTGAAATAGTTTGATGTGTATAGACAGATTAAAAACTGCAAAACATGGTTAAGGGGGAAAAGGGGCCAGTGCAGTGTGCAGATAAGTCCTTACACTTTTAGAGGCAGCGGTGTATAACAAATCCATCCATCCATCCAACCGTCTGTCCGTCCGTCTGTCTGTCTGCCTACCTGCATGTCTGCCTGCCTGTATGTCTATATAGCCTGAATGCCCTATTCTTAACCCTTTGAAAATAAAGTTCGTTCATTCGTTGTCTATTGTACACATATATTTCTTAAAGAAAAAGATTATATATAGGGAGAGAAGGAGAGAGGTGAGGGAGGAAAGGGAAGAGAAAGAGTGAGAGAGAGAAAGAAAGAAAGAAATATATATATATATATATATATATATATATATATATATATATATATATATATATATATATATATATATATAGAGAGAGAGAGAGAGAGAGAGAGAGCTATAGCAGTAGGATTATATGACAGTTAGCCTAACATCACTAGACAATTTACAAACTGGATGAGGCGGAAATGTTCAACACCCAGCAACCTGGAATACATTTGTTGGAAACACTTATTCTGCGATTCTTTGTTTCAAATGTCACATTTATTATTACAACATCAAAATATTTGAGGAAGGCGCAGGTTGGGTCGGACTATGAGGAGTTAATGAAGTGAAAAACACACTAAACATAATTTAACAGAATAGCAGGCAATCTCAGAAATATTCAGTGACTAGGAATTAAAAACTGAAGAGTGACCCTCGCGTGACCTGTAATCGCACAATCAGTCACGATAACCTATTTTCATGATTCTGACATGAGGTATTTAGGTCAAGTGACCAGAACGGGAGCAGGCTTAAGAGGCTCTCCGCGGGTCATCAGGTTCTATGTGGCTGTTCTTTTACAGTCATACCATTACTTACATACTAGAGTACACAGAAGTACCTACACATTCAGACACATGGATAGAAACATGGATAGAACACACACACACACACACACACACACACACATACATACAGACACAAAACAGATACACATATAAAAACACACACAGAACTGCACACACAAGCACACTTACACATGCATAAAAAATGTCACATACATATAAAAGTGATTTACACATATAAAATCAAACACTCATACACACACAAAAGGTTGCAGGTTGGGTCTTACACATGCATAAAAAATGTCACATACATATAAAAGTGATTTACACATATAAAATCAAACACTCATACACACACAAAAGACAAAAATAAATTTACAAAAATATACACATTTAAACAAACAAAATTAGACAGACACATATACAATGACACATACAACATGACACACATATAAAAGGATGCAGACACCTACTTAAAAAAAAAAAAAACACACACACAACACAAAGACAAGTACATATGTAAAGGCAGATAAACAAGTTCCCAGACAGACCTAAAAGCTCCCACAGCCACCACCAGGTCTCCACAGTCAGCCGATGCTTCCAACACTGCGCACATAAAACATGCCCAGCTGTGGACAAGTAATTCAGTTGCCACGACAACGGCTGTGTTATTCTGTGTTCTAGCTGGAGAACTAGAAGATTGTTTATTATAAAACTTGTCGCTTGTTCTGAGTCCACACTGATATTTGTGGCAATCCACTGGCGACTTGCGCCCAAAGATGATCCGTCCACAATTACATTTGTGACAATGAGATGGCAATTTACAGTCTACCAGAGATCAGTTCACATTGAAATTTGCGGCAATCTGCCCTCGATTTTTAGTCCAGAGATCTCTCTTTGAGTCAGTGAGTGTCCCAGGTGGACTCTTTAAGTCAGTGAGTGTTCCAGGTTGCAATCCCAGAAGGGGGTAGGGGGGGGGGGGGCACATTGAATTTTGGCATTCAGGAGGCGATTTATAGTCAATGGATCAGTTCACATAGATATTTGTAGCAATCATTTGTCAGTCCGTGGCAGTGTAGCGCAAAATTCCGATTCAGCTGGTTCCAATAGCGATACGATTGTATGTTAATTTTTAAAAAAATGTCTGTCTGTTGTATGTCTCTACTGAACCAGTCTAAAGCCAAATGTCTGTCCGGATGTTTGTCTCTACTAAACCAGTCTAAAGTCAAATGTCTGTGCGAGCAACATATGGAGCAGCGTTCTTCAACCTTGTTGTACCCGTAGAATGGGAGACATTTTTTGCAGACCTGTCTCACGGCTAAGGCACAAACAAAAACAAAAGTAGACTTTGTCCAATGTACTTTCTCTAGAAGGAAGGTTGTCTGTAGTACATCCGCTACTGGCTTTGAGAATAGGACGTGGTGAGGACCTAGAATCTTTAACAGTTAAACTTCCGTATCACTGTCTAAAAACCAGTAGAAGAGACTTTTCTTTAAACAGCAGGCGGCAGAAATACTTGTACAACCCTGGTACGTTGAAGATCAGATTTGGAAACGTTTTAACCGATTTCTAGTGAGTAAGTAAAATTTACCCCACAAAGATATCACACAGAGCGATAAACACCCGGTGACACAAACTGCCACCATGCGGATGAGGTCCCAGAAATCACGTTCAACCGTTAGCCTTTATTGCGGCAAAAGCCGGAGTGGGGCTGCAAAATAAGGAAAAATTGCGTCCCATATGGGGCTATCTTCGTTGGACAAACTAATTTCTAATCACAGAGTCGCACTAAATGAAGATACCATTTTATGAATTAAATCCAATTATAAAACTACAATATAAAGCTAATAAGACATCTGATGCTTTTTTTTTAGGTTAAAATATCTGAATGACTTGGCTAGAGACGAACAGTTGCAACAACACTCATTCGATTCCTCTTTTTTGTTTTTTTTTTTAATTGTTGACATAGCCTAAACCTCCGGGCCACATTGTCC